ACCAAAAGTTGATACCACTTTATCCTTGTGAATGCAGATTTTGTTTTCAATGCTAATTGCAAACTGTTTTTATAATTTTCTTTTTCAAAAGTAGTTTTCTGTCATTTAAATTATATTTCAATTATATTCTAACAAGTTGCCAAAAAGCAAGAAGTAATTTCAGTGGTCTTTTCTTGTAATCAGTTTTCATAAGACTGACTGACTGAGTTTAGTTTTACGCCGCTTTTAGCAATATTCCAGCAATATCACGGCGGGAGACACCAGAAATGGGCTTAACACATTGTGCCCATGTGGGGAATCGAACCAGGGTCTTCGGCGTGACGAGCCAACGCTTTAACCACTAGGCTACCCCACCGCCCCAGTTTTCATAAGAGCCTAGCAGTAAGTATAGAGAGGTGCTTGGGCATTGTGCGGTCATGTGACCCAAAGCATGTGCAGTTCATGCAATCCAGCCACATGGTATAACAGTGGAAGGGCTCATGGTGTACAGATGTGTGAATGATGACAAGATTGTTGGAACACAAATGTAAGTTTATTTCATGTATATTTGAGGTTATCTGTCAATTCTGAAGAAATTTTGAGACTAGTATTTTATCATGCTTATGGTTATTGAATAGGAATTTGAATTCTAAAGCAATGTTTGCATTTCATTGCAGAAATAATCCTATTCTCAATTCATGCTTCATTTGAATTATTATTCAGCTAATGTAACTACTAACACAGCGGTAATTATGCCTTAAAGTAATGCTGCTGTAAGTAATTTGTTTGAGAAACTGTTTTATGGTACCGTTTGTCAAAGCATATTTAGTAAGGTATTTTTTGTTTCTTTTTTAGTTTCTGAACATCGCCATTTAATGAACAATGGTCTAACTAAAGGCTAATGGAAGAGACCAGCTTTAATGTTACAATTCATGGATTTGTGGAGTATTGTGCCGACAATTTCTAACCGTCCCTTGACATGTGGACTTCAATGTCGTCAAGGTTATATTGCCAAATTGTCACCAGTACAACCAAATGCCACAACGTTAATAAATGAACATGACGAATATGCTGTAGTGTTAAATGGTGTGAGTTTGTCGGATTTGTAGTTCTTGCATCAACATTCCTAGTTTAGTTTTTAGTTTAGTTTAGTTTTTGTCACATCAAAAAAATATAAAAAGTTTGGTAAATAGAAGAAGTACAACCATTTACATTCAATAAACCAATTTTATTTCGGTTTTGTAGGACATCGACCCTTGTAAAATGTAAATAATATACAAAGTAGCTCATTTCTAACCTATTTCGTTAAGATGTGTCTAAAACTTACAGGTCATAATACACCTTTTCCAAGAATTGGCAATTTCATTTTCAATGGAGCCACGTTCACACATATTACATTCCTTATCAATATTTGCAAGGAATAGTTGACGTGCCATTGTTGCCGATCACAATTCAGTGTTATGTTCTCGAAAGTATACTGTAAAAAAACGTGTATTACCTGCATGCTAACTGTAGCATGCAAATCCAAAACAATCAGAACACAACAAGTATTAAACATATGTAGCGCAAGTTACACTTTAAGTGATATCTATTTTCCTCCAAGGTAAATAAAACCGTTTAGGGTAGCGATCACCACATACAGGAATATTGGATCTATCGCTTTCTGCTAAAATACCATTACTCGAAACATGTTTTCCAACAGCCAGGATATATTTACCTCAAATGTTGTGAACTTTATCGAACAATATCTGAGCAGAGAATCTGAGTCTTCAGTTCATACCAAGGACTTTGAGGTGGTGGATCAGGTGGGTCTTTTAATTTTCACAAATACATGTCATGCCATACACCATGGATATTTTTAGGCTGGAAACTAGGAAAGGACCATTCACAACGACTTTGATGGCGGATACATTCTGCCTACCAATTACTGGACTTATTCACTCATTTTTCTATGAAAAGTATATTTCTGTTGTGGCGTCGAGTGTCATGAGTTATGTTTGAGGTCTAGATCATTTTCTGTGTGTATTGAACAAATCTTAAGAGTGCTTTGAACAAACCCACCACTTTGGGGAAATACGTTTTAATTCCCGTATTGAATTTTAAAAATGTGCTTCCAATTTATATACAATGTACACATATACCATCTCAGAAGGTATTTTTTGTATTATCGAAGGTGTATCTATGTGTAGAGTCTTTGCGTGAATGGCCATGGTGGATGTAACACCGTAATTCCACACTATGTCATGGCGTAGGTGGAAATACCCCACTGGTCAACCTTAAATGAAATCCAGCGGGATTTGTTGCTTTCAATTAGAATTATATACGTTCTCCCCACAGATATGTCAACTGCTTAACACGCACGAAGTAATCTCGCTGATTGTTTTAAGGACAGTACGTCCGGCTATTAAAAACATCTCTTGAGACTATGTATAATGTTTAATTCATTATGAATGGAATCACAACAAAAACTCTCTCGTCACAAAGGGAATAGATCCACGAAATAGCAAGCCATGACAATAGAGTCGGCGATGCAAGCGACTTTGCCATCAAAATCCGTAGGCGATGCTCGGAAATAGCTAAATATATGCCACATGGTCAGATGTATGACCTGGCGTACAAAAGAAAGTATACAATCGGTGCGTTGAAATCATTAACGGCTTTCTCCTGTCTTTGCCATTGAGAAGTAACATAAAACAGAAACAGACAATGATGCTAAAACGTAGCTAAAACAACAAAAAATGGTACATCATCACATGAATAACTCCATACACATGTAGATAAATATGAAGAATGGTCCTTTTGGGTTCATTTAGTGGTTTTTTACTGCCATCGGGTCTCAGTTACGCAAGATGCTAAACTGGCATAAGATGCAAACATGTGATGCAACAACAACTAGGATATACGGGTCAGTAGAAGGATGAGGATGATGACGATGATGACGATGATGGCGATGATGCAATGATCCGCAGTGTTAACAATGCAAGTTATCGTTACACATATACACAGTTAGTCAGGTAGGTTCAGAAGGTCTGGGTGCTGTTGTACAAAACAACCTTAGCGCTAAGACTACCTTGAGTCTATGTTAAGATATGGGAGTTACGGTCACCTTAGCGCTAAGATCGCTTTGCACAACGGTACCCTGGGCACATACAGGTCCTCTTCGAAACAGATTCAATTCAACGTTCCATTTGCAAGTAAACACATCTGATGCACTGAAGACATACCACTGAAAAACGGCAACAGACACGTCAACAAACTCTTTGAAACTATATTTCCTATGGTATGAATACACAATGCCATTTATGCATCCTATGGTACATCAGAAATTATTTTTACAGACATTAACCAATAAACATTAATGTTATCGTCTCATGGTATCGTATTTCTCTGGGTTTAAACCGTGTATGCAGGTTTACCTAATTGTTTCTCAAGCCACTGTCCACAGTTCACCATCACCACTGTAGACGACCCCTCCACTCCTCATGACTGTACAGACAGATGTAGGTCTGTTGTACGCCACGTACGTACACTCTACCATCATCATACAGATAGCCACACATTCCTGTACAGTCTCCTTGGTGGTGGCCTGGATCACTGTAACAGCCGATGCACCTGTGGATTTGGTGAACGACCTGTCCACTGGGTTGCAGTTTAGTATGAAGTTCATCGAAGCCAGGAACACAGGTGCTATGGTTGTTGTAGTGGTAGTTGTGGTGGTAGTTGTGGTGGTAGTTGTAGTGGTAGTGGTAGTGGTGGTGGTTGTAGGTGGTGCATCTGTCAAAAGAAGAAGTCACGAAAAATAATGCCATGTGTCAAACATACATTGTCATTGCTGGCATCTGGTACTGAACACGGTAAAGAAACAGTGTGACATATTTCGCGAACAGGACGAATTCCGCGTGATGATTATGTACAGAATTCACCACCTGGTCCGTGAAAAGAGCACCGTGAGATCTTAAGCGAAAATATATGTTAGCTTTCTTGTGTGATTTGGCTTAGTCAGTTCCGTCCTTTGCAAGGCGCTCAGGATTGATAATATTATGGCAAGGATGACAATTTTGCATTCGGAACTGTCCGGTTATATTAGAGATTCGGAAACTACATATGACTGTGTTAGTGCAGTCTTCAAATACACCAAATGTTGAACCCTCGGTTTGATCCGGATTTAATATGAACTATTAGTATTTAAAACTGTTTTCGTTTTGTTCATGTTTTCTTCATACTACAATACTATTATATCGTTCAACTTTCAAATGTGAATGGAAATGTAAGAAAGTAACATATCGTCACACAAAGGTTTACCTGAAACGCAAACAGGATTTGTTTTGTAATAGAAGTTATTCTTCCATTTGCCATCGGTCGCACAATGCTTCATTCCCCTATCGTACGAAGATGTGGATGTGAGGGTTGTCCCGGGCAGGCAAGAAAACGTGACAGTGTCGTAAACTTTGTAGTCACCGGTCTTGCTTGGCTTTGCATTCGTGACTCCCGGTGGGTCGGGACACCTCGTAGTACCTTAAGGAAGAACATCGTTGCATTGTGTACATCGCGAATCATCTTTAGATAAATAATGTTCAAGGTAAAACCCATATGAAATATATGAGAACACTGGAAGGCTTAGGAGGCAATCGCAAAAAGACCAGCATTTCACGATTGTAACAATTACCTGTCTGTTTCCTTGTAATAAGAAAGTACTTCCTTAAGTATTTAGCATTAATGAAACAGACTCTTCTACATCTGTCGAGATGAGAAAGTGCTATCTGACGAAGTTATTTTGTTTAAAATTTCTAGATGTTTCTAATTCAAACTGACGAAATATACGAATGTATTTGCATTACATCCCCCATCATCTGTGTAGGGATACGCGTGTGATGTATTTGGCCACATGCGTCACCTGCACAGTTGGTATAAACACAGCAATGCAGAGCTTTATTATCATCTTTTCATCAACATCCTAATGTCACCGTTCAATGTTAAGCTAATGCAATGTGAGTCAAAGATGATACAATATGCTCACTGGTCCTGATGCCGCATGTCGTAGGGCAGGCGGTCACAACAGAGGTGTCAGTTTCACATTTCCCTTGAGCGGCCCACTCCCTACAGTTACAACTGGTATCACCCGATCCAGCTGAAAGTAGCACAGACGACATATGATTGCATGGTCGACCCATTCAATGCGTGTAAGTGTGATGTGAAGACGGGAACATGGGTAAACTCACCGTCGCATTCGGATGGGGTATTGCAGGAGAGAGCACAGTCACAATTCAGCTTTAACACACGATAGCATTCGAAGTAACTGGCCCAATTCGCGCAAGCGGACTTTTGGTCGGTGCATGCTCCTAGAAAAGAAAGGCCAAAGTCAAGCTCAGAGAGTATCACATTCACATCTGGGTTTGCTATATATACTGAAAGGCAAAGATTGGTAATCTTGATGACTGGATTAGGGGGGGAGAGAGAGAGAGAGAGAGAGAGAGAGAGAGAGAGAGAGAGAGAGAGAGAGAGAGAGAGAGAGAGAGAGAGAGAGAGAGAGAGAGAGAGAGAGAGAGAGAGAGAGAGAGAGAGAGAGAGAGAGAGAGAGAGAGAGAGAGAGAGAGGAAGACAATAACTTGCTTAACGTGTTACTTAGGCTAACAAGATCATCTTATTTGGCACCCACTGAACACGTCTGAGATGAAATGGATCGACAGTTAGGAATTCGTCTACGACTTTCCACGGACACGACTTTCATAAAGAGTGCACAGAACGGACACGCACGTTACTGTTCATGTCGATGTACTTGTTGTGAACATGTTGCATATGCCATGTGTGCTGCCCCTATTGCTTGTTGATCGATACTATTCGTGAAACATTTGTCTTTCCATTTAGGGACATTTCATTTGCCCCACGAAAGGTTTACCACGGATTCTCTTTGCTGTGTGTCACAACAACATTTTGCTTTTGAGTATATCTTGCCAATAGTTGAGCTCATCTGCGCTATTCAGCAGTGACGTTCGACCATTTTTGATATGTTCAAAACAGTAAATACTAACTGTTGTTCACAGCAGCATGTTCAAACTACTGAGTTATAACATACGGAAGTCTTCTTCTACAGCCACTTTTTGGCTGACTGACTGACTGACTGAGTTTGGTTTTACGCCGCTTTTAGCAATATTCCAGCAATATCACGGCGGGGGACACCAGAAATGGGCTTCACTCATTGTACCCATGTGGGGATTAGAACCCGGGTCTTCGGCGTGACGTGCCAACGCTACAGCCACTTTTTGAAATTTGAATATAAGATACATATTTGAGCGTGTTGATTCCCAAGTTGAAACTTAAACTTAAGAGGGAGTCAGACGGAAAAGAACTTGGTGTGAAACCAACTAACATCAAAGCGATGTGACATAATTACCAATTGTATTTTTAATCAACTATGTTACAAACATTAACATAAATCACTATAAAGGTGTTTGAGAAACATTTCTCCAACTGCCTGGGTCAGAACAGAGTGGAAAGGTCCATAGGGTCGTGGTACCTTGTGGAAACATGTCACAAGTCCAAATAAAGCATACAACAATCTTCCCGGCCTGAACTGTGCAATAGTATACACCTGGAACATCGTTACACAATGAATAACACTCCTGATGACAATATCGAAAAGTTTCCATTATCTTGAAATGTCAAGTAATACACATACACTAATTTAATGATTCCTTGTATCATTGTATTTTGACAACCTCTGCCTATGATGGGGAGAAGAAGTATATAGACTCTGATTTCAGGAATGCCTGTCACTAAGAGATAATCATTTTGAAAGGGAAAGCAGAATCTCGGATTGTAAGCTCGATTGCGTTTTGAGAAATATAGGAATATTGACGTAAATTGTATTCTTGTAATATCATTTGAACTATGATGCTGTGTTCTGTACAGCAGGGATTCTGTGTTATATATTAGTAGGTAGACGCGAAATGTCGAACTCTCTTTGTAGCCAGGTCCCTCAGTTAAAACACAGCTCAGGTTAATACTGAGCTACCTGAAAGACAATTCCTACAGGATGTAATGAAATGCCAGAATTAGCATGGATGTGACAATCAGCGCATGACTATGTGGTATGTGTAGAGAAGACTGTGATTTCCGTTATTTGTGGAAATAGGTTTGGTTTCAATATTTGTTACAAGAACCTGAAAATGAAAGATGTACCATGTCCATGTATGCATACAAAGTTCTCCAAAAAGAAGCACAACATTCCTGACAGTCAAATATAAACTGAACAAATCCATTTAACCAATCGAGAGAGGTCCTTTGATTCTTCTTCCGTCTGTGTGTTCACCAAACTGACATTGAGCTAACTCGGGTTTCATTCAGGATTTGATTTGTACATGAAAATCAAACTATATCATTCTACTTTTTTTCTAAATCATTATAAAGCGGCGTTTGGTTGCACCCGCCTGTGTCGTTAATATCTCATAGTGTGGACAAAGAAGGTTCCCTGAGGAGTGTAGTTTTGGACGTGGTCAATACGTGATGCTCTGTAAATAACAGTAGAAAACAGATCAATAGAGCTCACTGATGCCATGAATTGTATTGGCATGTGGTGAGAACTGTACCATGGAGAATCTAGAATAGAAAGCTTTCCATAAGTGATGAACCTTTAGAATCATTCTCGAAGATACACTGAATTCAATTTGCGACATCAATTCACGCTCGATAGCATTGGTAGTAGGACCTGGTACAGTTTTAAGAAATGCGATTTGCTATACGCCATGTGTACTTTCATAAAACATTATTTGCTCTGAACTTAACTTATTAAAGCACGATCTTTTTTTGCCACGAAGGACCATGGTGTTTTCAGGAAGGCAAAACTAAATTTTCCGACCACACACGAAGCGTTGAACAAACCTTCCTTAGATGCCGAATTGCTGACTGACAATACGTATACTCGTGATTTGTTTAGAATACAACATTGTAAGAAGCATTGTATAAAACATCAGATATGCTAAATTATGCGCAGCCTTAGGTTTGGAGGCAGAAGACACTTGAAACGTAATGAAAGACCACTACAGTGCTTTTATGGAAAAAGTTAGTGACATTTTACAAACCCTTCACTGTGGGATAAGCCGTGAACCCTTGCAGCAATATGTACAACGTACAACGTACAACTCCGACAATGTTGTGGCAAGTGTGTTGCGGACACGGTGGGTAGATTGACCCTGAAGCGGGAGTTAGAGTTGAAACTCCAGACGGTCTTTAACAAATAGCTCACAGCTCGATATTGCTCACTGACTGACAGTAAAGACGGAAAACGATACCACTAGGGTTACGTTATCACTGGTGTATTTCGTGTTTTATTGCAAAACATTGTATCCAAACGTCTTATGTTATGACGACCTGCCTACTTTGTTTGTAAGCGTTTGTGGCTGCAAGTCACGACATATGTATACTACAGGGCAAAGATAGCATGCATGCTTGTTGATGGTCTCAATCTTTTCGTCATCACGATATGTGTCATCTGGTGGTGTTAATGATTTATCGTCCGCCTAGTACAGTTGCTGCACAGTTTCACGTACTACGATTGACTACGCAGAACACTAACATAACATAAATCACATTGAAATCCTCGGACATAAACACATACCCGGCCTACCCGTGCCTGACCCTTGCTGTCGGTGCGCTATTATATGACCTGTCATTACCACACAACTCATTGTAAAAGGTCTAGAGGCCCAAAACGTGTGACATCTTTATCACATCAGTAGGAACAATTTGGATAAGAAAACTTATAATTATTTCACAAGGGAATGAAAATTCCCGTGGGATGAGAGAATACGTACAAATAATACGTACAAAAATCGTGTTATCGTTCAGGGTCATGAATATGTGTGTTTGTGTTCAGAAAGAGCAGTAGATTAGCGACAAGTGTTTTGTGGCCATTGTTTCTTGTACGGATATATTGTAAGTCCACGTATGTTTCATACTTGTATTTTTGTTGTACATTATTATGTAAACTTGTACCTCTAATGCCGCAGAACGCGACTGGAGTGTAAATGAAGTTTAGTTGAGTTCTGTAACATCAGTCGCCCTGAAGGGTGTCCTAACATGGTCTCGTCATCGGAAATTAGGACATCGTTAAATCAGGACTATCGCTGAAAACGGCGAAAAACTAAACTCACTCACTACAATCACATCCACAAATAACTGATCAGTCATGGAAACGTTAACAATCTCAAAACTATCCGTCGCACATGATTAGATTCTTCCGGAACTGCCTGCATGTGAGGACCTTCACACACAACAAGTAAAGCGTTAATGTTGACAAAGCAGTACGGCTGTCTTCTCGTGCAGCAAACTGAAATCTTGGATCTCCCTTAATCTTTGTATTGAGAAACGAGAGTGAGCTTCTTGGTGCCGTTGTAGGAAACAACCTTAGGACTAGCGAATGTCGAAGGTTAATGTTGAATTATGAGAGTTATTTCGCTGTGTCTGACACCCTGGTACCAGTGGAATTTGACGGGTGTGGCACCGTCGCTATTGATCTTGTTTTTGTATCTGACTTGACACCATCAAATGTGACGGTTTGTGTTGGTGTTACACTATCTTAGTTTCGCACACATTCTGGTACTTTTGTTGGGCTCACTGAATGGGGTAGAGCGTTAACATTGTGTGATGGAGATTCAGTGCCTCACTCTTATAGCTTGAGTTCGACACAGCCGCCAATGCACAGGAACCTGAACTTAAAAGAACCGGAGATCACAGTTAAACCTAACTTCAGACATATGCGCATCATTTAGTTGCAGAATACATTTTTCATTTTTAGATAACTTAATACAAACACGATTAACATGTGTCTGTTAATATACAAATGTCAATTGTCCAAAACACGGTGTTTCACATGATCTGTTCCTAACGACATTGCCAGTTCTTTTTTTCTTTGACAGAAAGAGACAATAAGAGATCCATGTCTAGTTTCAAGTTGAAATACGCGTGACGTCATTGACGTCTCATTACAACCGTTGGTAAAACGTGAGTTTTCAAAGAGAAACTCACTAATTTTCAGAACCATGCCAAGCACATCTGTCAGTCTTTCAGGGAGATTATTTGTGTGCTCAGTGGACGCATGTGATCAAGTTACTTACGGCAGACATTTTCAAAATATGAATTTTCTTTCACAGAGCCTCAGAATAACGATAGAATAAAACCATACATCTTCACGTACAGTGTAAGCTTATGCTCGCAGGTCATCGATAGCAACGAGAACACATCATGGGAATGAGAACCCCTGCTGGGAAGACGGACAAATATATACTAAGCAGCAAAAAGAAACGTCAGTTTCGAATTTTCCTTCGCAGAAACGGATAACTGTAAATTCGTTTAATGTTTTGTTTGTATATTTTTGACAACATCTTCAACTTTACCTGAGCAAAGACATTCCTTCCCAAACTCAGAATGGAACCCAGGAAACGGTCTCTAAAACGCAACCTGATCTCGGAGATGGTACGGTGTTCTCCATGTTTTTCATGCAACTCATGCTGCACGTGCTGTTCACAAGGTCCAGCCCTATAAAATGCACCCCCAAACCTGGTTGAAACATTCACATTACAAGGTCAGCAGGATGCCGCGACTCACGACAGCTCAGAGGAACCAGGCGCTAGGAAGACTTGAAGCTGGCCACACTGCACAAGCCGTTGCCAATCACTCCCAGGTCAACGTTCGGACCATCTACAGGCTGCAGCAACGTTTCTGGGCCACCAACACCACAAATGATCGCCGCCGTACTGGCAGACCAAGGGTGACCACAAGACGACAAGACCACCATATTGTGCGACAGCATGTACAGAATCCCTTCATGCAGGCATCTGAAACAGCACGCCAGACAGGGGGAACACACGGTAGACCAATCAGTACTGATACAGTACGCCGACGTCTTAACAGCGCGAACCTCCATTGCCGTAGACCTTACCGTGGACCTTTCCTCACCCCAAGTGATCGGCGTGAATGTCAACAGTTTGCCCAACAACACCAAAACTCGCGATACAGGCAATGGAGAACTGTTCTGTTCACAGATGAGAGTCGGTACAGCGTATCAACTGCAGATGGCAGAACAAGAATATGGCGACGACGTGGCGTTACTCAGACCAATGTGTTATAGAAAGAGACTCATGGGGAGGTGCAAGCATCATAGGATGGGGTGGAATAGGCCTGAACCAGAGAGTGGGGCCTGTGGTGTTCCAGAACCTTGGTCCAGGGAGAGGAGGCGGCATCACAGCGGTGCGCTACATCGACCAGGCTCTCAGAACCCACGTCATACCACATTTTGCACGTCACCGGAACAACATTTTCCAGCATGATAACGCCCGGGCCCATACTGCCAGAGCTACACAGGACTTCCTACAGCAGAACTTCCTACATCCCAATGTCTTGGGATTGTGCTGAGTTATGCATCGATGAGTCAAGATATTGTACACAAAAAAATGTTTTTGATCCGCTTATTATGTCCATTTCTGTAATGATCTGATTACAGTGCCTATCTAATTGTGAATTCGTACTGACGTGGGTTTTTTTGCTGCTGAGTATACTTATACTTCAAGAAGAGGGTGATGAAGTCTCGAGAAGTATTGTCTCTCAGTATATGTAACAGAAAACAAACAGTGTGTTGCGGTATGTAGTGACCCCACCCCAAGTCAAAGTTGCATAACATTTATCACATCAACTTTTTTCACATCCGTATCAACAAATTTCTCGATGTTTCAGTAGTACCGGTAGAAGAAGTGGTAGTTTTCCTTAACACTAACATATATATATATATATATATATATATGATATATATGATCGTACGCCTTTGCTGCAAAGAATTCTCAAACAAACTGAATACAACTTACAGTGTAATTCACAAATTCTAATTGAATCACTAAGTCTACCATGATTTAAACATTTTGTACAATGAAACTAAAGTACATACCAAATGTGTGTCCTGTAAGCAATGATAGAAAAATGAATCCAAGGATAATCATGACTGACTCTGTAGCGGTGGCGAACAAGAAATACCACAGTCATATACTGAATGATACCCTCTCCCCCAGGAAAGTGTTAAAAGGACAAAGACGTGTTGTTTGCTTTGTTTGACAGGTTATCCAGAGGGGAGTGGTGAACAACAGAGCGCTCACGCATAACATTCATATGGCTTACATTCTCAATCCTGCCGACGTTGTCTGTATATAGACTTTTGGGTTGTTTGCATGTGTATTGATTCAACGTTGACGTCCTGCCGACGTTGTCTGTATATAGACTTTTGGGTTGTTTGCATGTGTATTGATTCAACGTTGACGTTCTGCCAGATGTGAATGGGTTATGTGATACGTATAGGGCGTGTGTGTGATTTCCTGATACCTAAATGGTCAATATGTGTGCAGACAGTAAAACGTTTTTAAGGACTGCCATGTGTCTCAAGCGATGACACGACACAATCTACTGTCAGGCAGATTTGTGTTGTAATAGTAAAAACGAAATTGCATTTACTATTAAATATTTTCCGACACTAATGGTTCTAATGTTATAAGCGGCTATATTGCAGTTTTTGATTGCTACATTTCCAGAAAGCTATTGTTAATTGTTTGTTAATATCATGCTTTTCTGGATACTCTCACGATACACGAGGTCTAATTTGGAAGGTTTAACCTCACTGTGCCTGCACCTTATATGTTGTTATAAGAGATTAAAGGCCACAGCTCAAAGCATTTCTGGTTATAGGCTGTGTAATTTCAGTTGGCATGTGCCGGGGAAATGTTCTCACAGAGTGAACACTGTTTAAGGTCAGATTATGACGGGTACCTGTTAGATAAACACTTTTGATGAATATCATTAATTAAAAGTATGTGCGTAGGAGTGCGAATTTTTTAGTTGTAGGTGCCAGTGTTGCCATGTATATAAATTACTTAGACTGGTCACACTGGACATTGCAAAATGGCAAAAAGTCAAGTAAATTTTCGGTTTGTTGCTAACTCCCAAGGTGGACAGAATCTATTTCACAATGGTATTAATTAGGAGCAGAAGAAACACCACTGTGCACTGGCGTCGCTGTAGAAAGAACTGTCCAGCAACAATAAGCATATCTAACCACTTCATCAAAACATATCGTGATATTCACAACCATTCTGGAGACGACAAACATATTGTCATTCAGGAATTCTTATTTAACCCTGAAATCGAAAGTTCGCAGTGAGACACAGCCTGTTCCAGCAATCTTCCAAGAAGAATTGATGGGTAAGTTGAATTTAAGAAATAGTGTTAGTTCATTAATTTTACTTCCATAATTGCACAATTCACCATTTGATTCTATTACATAGCAATTTGTAGTGTATATAATGTATTTGTTGTAATATACACATTTTGCTCTTTTTTCAGACTTATGTACCAATGAACATGTGCATGTGCAAATATTATGGAATTTTAGTAATATCATATGCATGTGTACGATACAAAGTATTTCAGTAATAATAATAAGAAGAAGAAGAAGAGTTCAATCTTTCACTTCCGCAGCCCAGTCAGCCTTCCTCCGGTAGTCAAACCAACCTTACTGGAGATGGGAATGAACCCAATGGAAGGCACAGAACCCGACCAAGAATATCTTGGTCAAACCATTCAAATTCCACCCTACTTGAGTGTGCGAAAGCAACAGAGTGACCTGATAATCGACGAATAAACGTCAAGTCGCTTAAGCTGCACTGGGACAATGTCATGCCCATGTATGCTTTCCTGACGGAGAAAAATCTCCGAGATCAATTCCGGCGGCTTAAAAATCTCATGCGCCGTGAGCCAGATCAACCCACAACCGTCAGGAACCTTTGCGTAAGCAGAATGCTCAAGTGGCAGCAGACCCAAAACTTCTAATGGATGTCTGCGTCAACCTCTTTCCTCTTCCTGATGGAAACTCTTCTGGTACAGAGCCAATTGGCCCTGGAATTTCGGACCCTCACTCTTCCTCAGTTGTAGAACTTTCCGAGGAATCCTGTGTATATTGTGTTTCATTCTAATTATGATGAAAAATCTGACATACATTTAGAAAAACGGAGGCCAATCAAACAAACAAGTGGATCATTTCCAAACAAAGAAATAAATATTTTAAATGACATTATTTCTTTGAAACTTTCTGCGGACGGTTCATTACCTGAAGTTATTTGCTGTGTCTTTGCTGCCGCTCGAACCTTGGAGGAACTTCACACGGTTTCCAAATAAAAATCATTAAATACTAAGAACAATACACCAAAGAAAAAACCGTTTCAAGTAAAACTGACGGAAACTAAAAAATACATTTCCTTGATAGAGCTGTGCTTGAAGTTAAGATCATCAGGGAATCCCATGTCGACAAAAGTCAATTTGGAGGAAAATAAAATTACAGTATAAGACAACGAAAGAAAAGATACTTCTCCAAATTGTCCACTCCCTAAAGGCCAAAATAAAGCTTTGAACTGAAAGAAAGAGAAAATGGGAAAAGAAAAATAAATTCATCAAACAAAATCAAACAAAATCAAACTTTTTAGAAATAATGAAAAACACTTCTACAGGCAACTTAAAACAAACGACGATGGTGATGATGTCCTGGATTGACTACAAGAAAGCATACGACTCTGTCCCTCATGAATGGATTCTGAAGTCTCTTCGTTGTATTGTCCTCCCGAAGCGACTACTTGATTTACTCAAGTCTTTAATGAGTTTCTGGTCGACTCAACTTGAGATGTACTCGCAAGGGCAGGTGCAGACTTCGGAATCTATTTCAATCAGAAGGGGGATTTTCCAGGGGGACTCCTTTAGTCCTTTGCTTTTTGGTTTGTCTCTAAATCCTTTGAGCTTTCTGCTCAACAGAGAGGAGGGTTACCATCCCGGACCTCCTCAGCACAGATCCCCAGCACCACTTACTCATCTGATTTACATGGATGACATCGAGCTCCAAAGGAGATACGAATTTGAAAGTGCAGGTTCTCCTCGACAAATGTAATACTCTTCATCTGAAACGTGGCAAGGTAGTTAATGATGGATCGGTCAAGTTACAATGGGAAGGAGTTATTGAGCATCTTGTGGAAGATCAGGTCTACACCTATCTTGGAATGCAAGTTCGAGACAAGCTCCAGAATGCTCGGATTCAAGACAAACTTCGGGCCGAGTATAAATCTTGCTTAAAGAAAATCTGGAGCTCAGAGCTAACGAAACAAGGTCAAAGCCACCAATACCTTTGCTGTGCCAGTCCTCTCCTATTCCTTTGGAGTAGTCCATTGGACGAAACAAGACATCCAGAGTCTTGACCGCCTGACCAGAAGGATATGTCAGACCATGTCTGATAGCAGAGCCCACCACCCTCGTTCCTCTCTTAATCGTTTATATATGCCAATCAATTCTGGAGGTTGGGGTTTGATTAATGTGGAGGTTATTTATGATAGAATTTTTTTGTGTACTTTTGCACATATTTATTTATCAGATGACCCTCTGTTGATGCATGTCAAGACTCATGATCGAAGCAAGGAATGCCACAGCTATTTTAAGCGTGCCACGGCTGTTGGACACGATCTGAAATTTGAGGTTGATTTTGTTGATGGCGATGTACTGCTGAATGGTACAGCGATGGGAGTAAACCTGGTGAAGTCCTTCACCAAGTCTGCCAAGAGTCGGTCATTTGTGGAAAAGCTTTCTGAGAAGCCACTGCATCGTGTGTACATGCAGTGTGTGGAACAGAATAGCAATATCACCGACTCCTTCGCCTGGATGAAGTTGGCTGGTCTTAAATGTGAAACTAAGGG